TAACATTAAGTAATATTGTTAAATAATAATATAAATTTAAATAAATAAATCATGTGAATAACAAAATATTTTTTCGGATTGACATAATATAAGTTATTATAGTTCTTACTTTAATTCTTTATTTAATTTAAATAATGTGATAATTTAATAAATGATAAATTGTTTTAAAAAAAAGATTAAAAAACAGTAAATTTTTTAGATGTTTAATCTCGACGTTTTGGTCTAGATTCGTTCCTTCATCAGGATTTGTTCTGTAATTTTAAAAACTATTGGTGTCCATATCCTTAATTCAAAATTTGAATAAAATACACTTAAGAAATAGTGAAAAATCTGAAGTAAAAATATTTTTGCAAAAAGTCGAGATCAAGCACATAAAAACATTTTTTAGGATTTAGCGTTGTGTCACAACAATATATATATATATATATATATATATATATATATATATATAATTTATCATTATCAACAACCAGCATTAAAAAGAGCTTTCAACTTTCCGTTATTTTTGCAAAACTATCTCTTGATAAAATTTTAAATAACATAAAGGTACCAGCATGTTGTGTTCCAAGAAAAATATTAATGTTAGAAAAAAATATCTAAATCAGTCTTTATTGAAATCCCTAAAAGTATAATGCAAAATTAATTTATATATATAATTAAAAAAATAATACTTTAAAGTAATTGTTAAATTATCCATGAAATAAATAAAATTATTCCAGGTAGTGTATTTGTGCTCGTTGCAATTTTAGAAAAAAAACTGGTATAAAATTATTCAATATTTATAAATACTTAAATATTTAATCGTAAGTGTGCAAAAATATATTTTCTGTTAAATTTATAAAAATTTGAAAAAAAAATTATATTGAAGAAAATTATTCGAAATTTTACATTGCAATTTTAAAAAAAATCTTGTACAAAAAATACTTAATAGTTATAAATACTTAAATATTTCATGGTGTGCAAAAATATACTTGTAAAAAATAAAAAATAAATATAAATAATAAATAAAATAAAATAATAATACGTTGAAGTAAAAATAATTAGGCGATTCGAGATTTTACATTTGTGCTTATTGCAATTTTTTGTCAAATGTATAATTAAAATTCTTGTATGAAAATAAATAATATTTATAAATTTAATATATAGTGCTTGGATTTATGTGCTAAAATTAAATTCAAATAAATGTTTTAAATTTTGCTTAAGTACAAAAATCAGAATTTCTAATGGTTTTACATCAATTAAAATTAAAATTAAAATCCTTGTATAAAAATTATTAATATTTATAAGCATTTATTTAATATTAAGTGCTTGAATTTATATGCAGAAATATTTTCATTGTTTTAAATAACACAATTATGAATAAAAAAAATTAAACGTTTTAAGCGATATTTAAGTACAAAACTTTTATTAGATTTATTTTACTTTTACTTTTACAAAGTTCATTTACTTTTCTATCAATTTATTAAAATTTCATAGTTTTACATTAATTAACTATTATATAGGTAATTATTGTATATGAAATGTAAAATTAATATTCTTGTATGAAAACAATTAATATTTAAAAATAATTATTTAAGTAATTTAGTTAGTGCTTGGATTTATGTGCAAAAATATTTTTGTTTTTATATCAAGCATTAAAAATTAAAAATATTGTTTTAAGCAATACTTAAATATAAAAATTCTAACATAACTATCATTATTTAAATGAATAATGTAAAATTAAATTTCTTGTGAAAAAAATATTTATATTTATAAATAGTTAACAATTCATTATACAGTTCTTGAGGGTTCATATGAAAAAAATAATAGTTCTGTTGTCGAGGAATATCAAATATATATTAAAAATAGTAAAAATTAGTATAAATTTCTTTAAGCAATATTTAAAGGCAAATACATTTTTCTTTACTATAAATTTAGTTATTTTTTATAATTTTATGTCAAAATTTGTATTAATTTAACTTTCACATAAGTATTTTATATATACATACTGAACAAATACATTTGAATCTGTTTATGATATATTTTGATTGTAAGTTTTGTTTTTGTGGTTTTCTCATACTCATAATATGAGAAACAAATTATATTTATTATAAATGTTATCAAAAGAATTATGTTACCCAATAATTAGTGATTCGTAAACAAAAATATATTTGTGAATATATTGCATTACCATTTTTGTGAAAGGTGATGAAAACATAAATGTACACCTTGTGAAAATAGAAATATAATACAATTATACAGGAGATAAAAATATATTGCTAAATTATAGCTATATATAAAATATAATATTTTAAAAACCTTAGTAGTACTATAAGAAAATTATTATGTTTGAATTCTCATGGCCGATTATAATATCAAGAAAATTCATATATATAATTAAATACTAATTATAAATAATATTTATAATACTAATTATAAATACCATAAACATTAATATTTGTATAAATAATAAGTCTTCAGACAAATCGGTTATATATGTAATATGTATTATTTGTTTTAATATTATTCCATCTATTATTTAAAAAATGTTAGATAAGATGTTAGGATACGGTTTGCTAACAAGCGGCACTGTAGGCCTTCTCTACCAAATCATGATTCTATTCAGAAGCAGAAATTCCAAAACCAATCAAGACATCGATATTTGGCATTTTGTTTCAGAATCAGCGAGTGCTATAGCACTTGGAGCACTACATTTACTAGCAGCACCTTTAGAAAAGGAATCGAGAAGTGCAAGTACAGACAACGACTCGTGTGATGGAAACTTTTACACAAAATACATCATTTTTGCTGTGTCTTTAGCACAATGCTCGTTGTCTTTGATGCTGTACAATTTGGAGTGCTATCAAAAAGCATCTGGGGATAAAGAACAAGTTGAATTAAAAGTTAAAGTAAGAAGTAATTTGTATAAATTGGTTTTGGTGCCTTTGGTAATGCATAGTTTGCTAACAATGCCTGTATTCTTTGCTGGCAAACAAATGTTTAATGTTTCTATAACCGAGTTTGAAAGAACTGTTTGCCCCGAGTTAATGAATATGCAACAATGTGATGGGTTATTCGAACATAACCAGACTTTGCTGGAAAGTTATAGAGACATCATAAATCATACTGTAAAGGCTTCGACTTATATTGGAAATTCTTCACAACCAATTGATGAAGTGATTTTGAAAATCAAACAAGTTGTATCCAATTTCAATGCATCAGAACAAGATGTTGATACAAATTTCTATATGAGGCCTCATGATTTTAATTTAAAAACAGCGTTAATGGTGCGACGGCCTAAAATGCCGGTGCAGTGCGTGACTTTCTGTTCAGCGCCCAGAAATTTAATAAAAATACATCTATTCTTTACCATATTGCTTGCATTCATAACACCTGTGTTCATCAGCATTTTGTTTTATGTTAAATTTGCAAACAGAACCAAAAGTTCTGCACGAGACCTGTCTGATGACGCATTAGATAAACAAACCATTATAAATAATAAACATAGTACAAAATGCAAAAAACGAAACGCAAAAGGATCAATTTTGCTAAATCTCATTCTCTGGACACCTGCCGTTGCCGACTTTGCTTTAAAGGACTTAATTTGTGCGACAACAAACAATGTCGATGTCGATAACCTAACTTACGTACTTGCCAATTCCTATTTCTTGTTCCGAGAGTTTTTAAATTTGTATGTTTTGAGAAGTCATCAATTATCGGAAAACACTATAGCACCAGGTCAATAGGAAAATTCACTTTTTTTTCACTGTAAACACTAGCAATATTTGTTTTTATTTCGATATATCAAACTGTAGCGGACATCTTGGATTTTTACAACTGTCAAGGAAAAGGACTGCAACTTCAGGATAATCGAAAGAGAGCGGGAAAAAGAAAATTTAAAATGGAAAAGGACTCCGGTGATAATATTAAAGGAGAAATATAAATAGTAAACTAGGTGTAAGTTGCAATAATTTCTCAATGTATGTAAATAATCTACGTAATCAATAAGAATTCAAATTTTTCTATTTTAAAATAATTTTCTACTGTTTATTTCGAAAATAAAGAGTTTGCTTTCGCCAAGGTGGTTTTCAATTGATATTCTTCTCAATATCTATAATTGTATTAATTAAATTTATCATTATATATATATATATATATATAAAATTAAGCGCAACCAGCTGTAAAATTTCAAAATTTTTATACTCTAGAATAATATTTTTATACTTTCTGAACTTTATTGAATTTTTATAATTAAACTACTTTTTTAAGCCTATAATATTTTAAGATGTCCTTTTAGAAAATAAATTTTATTAACTTATTTTTTTTCAAACTCTTTACCACCAGCTTGATTTCAAAATGATACCTTTCAAACGGTTTTTGTATTTTTAAAATCGGTTCAGGAAAAAAGTGCTAATTATAGAGAAACGGCTCGGCCGATCGTCTTGCAAAATTAATCAACGATGAGAACTCATCAAGTTCTATCGAATGGCTTTTAAATTTTTAAAATCGGTATAGCCGTTTCTGAAAAAACGTCGGCAAAAAGTCAAATTGTAGCTCACACCCAACTTTGGTGTCAAACGATTCAGAATGACTTAAAACACCGAAAAAACAAAATTAAAAAACCGGATTTTCTGGCAAAAACATATACTTTTTCTTCTAGAAATAAGGAATGAAAATGGTATATTAAAATTTGAATTTTTGTATCAAATAGATATATTTTTAATCATTTCTTTTAGCATTTTCCAATCGTTAAGCGATAAATAAAAATGAGACTTCGAAATACTATCTAAATATTATAACAAATTAGAATTCTTGATAATAAAAAACTCAGAGTCCTAAATTTTGAAGCAAAATTCGTCATATTGTATGTTTGTAACAAAAAAGTTAAAACTGAAAGAAGTGTATTTTCAATTTATAAATTTAATAAATATTTATTACATGTTCTTATATAGTTAAGATTATAATTATAATATTATCAACATATTGGCTTGTTTAAATTAAATGCATATTGCATTGTTTTCCATTTACTTTCTGGTTAAGTCTTGAACAACTTTAAGAACATCGTATGCATTTAACCATGGCCTGATAACAGCTTTAATTATCACATCAGGATTACGTGTATATGCAAATAAATCAATTACTGTAAAAATTTCACATCCCAATTTTGGACAAGCAATATCACTTTTTCTCAATCTCAGCATCGGACAAAAATCATTACCTCCATCTCCAATGTAAATGACTTTATCAAAAACCAATCCATTTTTCTTGCTTATTTTAATATACTCTGTTAAAATTGAGCCTTTACATAAATTTCTTGGACACAAATTGCATTCGGTTTGACTCTGATAAGGTACAACGTTTAATCTTTCTGATTTATCATAAAAAGCAGGATTTGTAAAGATTTTTTTTACAAATTTATCTAATTTATGAGCGTCTAACCAGTTTTCAATGAATATATGATTCGAGTCGCTTATGATAATAATATCGTATCCTAATTTATCCAAAGTCTTCACCAGCAAAGTAGTGCCTTCAATTTCAGGAATATCAGCAATTGCTCCATAAATTTCAGTCCTGTCAATTTTCTTTTCTTGCAAAATGGCAAAAATTTGGCACATGTAGGAATGCCAATTCTTGTCCTTTAAAAATTGTTCAAGTCTTGATGGTATTTCATCTTTTATGAGACTTATTACTTGTAAATCCGAGTCCATTTTTATTAAAGTTTGATCGAAGTCAAACACAGCTAAATTCCTAGTAATGGTACAAAATTGTATGCGGTTTATTTTAAATTTATATTTGCAGATATTATGAAGCAGATTATAAGGTAAAGTATGTTTTAAAAGTGACAGCATTACATATTTTTGTTTTGGAAAATTATTTATAAATATTTATGGGAATAGAAACAAAATACACTTGATCGGCGTATATAATTTTTGATCCTTAAGTCTGTATTTAGAAACACTATAACGTTATAGTGTATTACGTACGTATTTAAAATAATTCAATACAGTTTATTGTAACTAGTGGGGCACATGGCATCGTGCCTTAAGGCAAATTGCTGGAACTTCCCGTACCGTAATGAAATATTCGAGAAATTTTAAACGTTTTCAAATATATTATTACAAATACTGTAACTTTCGTTATTTTTGCTATTTGTTATATCTGAGCAAATCAAATATAAATCATAAATCAATTTATCTCCAAAACAATAACAATCGTCATTTTATTTCGAATTCAATTTCAAAACAAAAAGTTGCCTAATTTGCATAAAATTGAAAAATCGCTCCCGTATGGTCACAGTCTAAACGCATTTGCAAATAATTCTGTGCGACATTTTCACTTATACTGTGCTTAGCTTGGCGGCATTTTCACATTTTTCAATAGTTTTCACAAAATTTGAAAAGTGCTCCAATACATAGACAGTCTAAACGCACTTGGGTAAGCATTTGTACCAGAGTGGCGCTTAGACTGTGCTTAGCCTGGGCGATTTTTTGAATTTTATTCCAAAATTACAAAAATATTTTTTGAAAAAAAAAATTAGAAACAAATTTTTTTTACAAAAGCAATTATTTTGTTGAAACAAGCAGAAAGTTCTTTGAATCAATTAAATCGGACGCTTAGTTCTCTCAAAAACTGCCATTTTTTTAACATTTAGCTCTGTATCTCCGAAATGACTGGACCTGCCTTTGCCAAAAACTAGTAACCACTTTTTCCCGTCATTACGAACTGAATGTTTTTTGAATCAATCAAATCGGATAATCCGTTCTCTCAAAAAATCGATTTCTATTTTCTCGATATACAAAAAAAATTTAAGAAAAAAAATGTTTTGACAAAAAAAATTTGAAAAAAAAATTTGGAACAAATTTTATTTTTTACTAAAAGCATTTATTTTGTAAGCAGAAACTTTTTTGAATTATTCAAATCGGATGCTTAGTTCTCTCGAAAACTGCAATTTTTTGCACATTTAGCTCGGTATCTCCGAAACGACTGGACCTGCCTTTGCCAAAAACTAATCACCTCTTCTTCCAATCATTACAAATTAATTGAATATTGAGATAACATAAATATGCATTTTTATTTTCGATTTTCGGCCCATTACTATAACTCATTGATTCCAAAAGTGGTCCACATGGACCCATGTCAGCGAAAAGAAATGTTAGAGAATAGAAGACAACACAAAACACATTAATATCTATTTTTTATTATTATTTTAAAGTCAAAAAGTCAAAAAATGTTTGATCTTGAATATGTATATTCACATTGAATGTTCAATACCAAATGTTAGTAGAAATAAAAATTTCTAAAAAAAAAAACGATATCGGCTAAATAGCTATTTAACCATAATAACTATTTTGGCGATCCATGGTAAAGCCTAAGGGTCCACGATACAAACAAGTTATAATATAACTTACCATATGAAAAGTTAATAATTCAATGCAGTTCTTAAAAAATGTCTAAACATGTCACTACAACTGAAATCTCAGATTTTTTATACATTAAACAAATCATTTCCTTATCTATGAAATAAATAATATATATTTAATTTATTTATGCAATTTTACATTATCTTTCATAATACACAATTAATTGTTTAACTTTATATTAGTAACCTCTCATTTAAGATCCAAATTCTTGATATTTCCAGATGAATTTATTACCTCTAATTCTCTAACAGTTTTTAATATATCACAACCATCCGTCCACGGTTTCAAGACAGCCTTCACAGTCAATTCAGGGTCATCTTTATTCTTCTCGATTCTATTCATGATCTTAAATCCCAAACGAGGGAAAGCAACATCAACTGCTCTTAATTTAATCATAGGACAAAAATCATTACTGCCGTCTCCAGCATATATGACCTTAACATATTCAGTACCAAGTTTCTCAGCGCTTTCAATATATTTCTTCATAACAGCACCTTTACATAAATTTCTAGAACACAATTTACATTCAAATTGGTACTGATAAGGCTCAATAAGTAAAAGACCATTGTCATCATAATGAGCAGGATTTGTGAAGACTTCTTTAACGCAACCGGATAAAGCATGGGCTTCTAACCAATCTTGTATAAATATGGAATTAGAATCGCTTATTATTATTATATCATAATTAAAATCGTTATGCAAAGCTCTAAATAATTTACACATGCCTTTGGTTTCAGGAATTTCGATGATAGTTTTGTGTATAGATGCTTTATCAATTTTATCTTTATGTAGTAACTTAAAAGCCTCGCCCATGAATATTGTCCAGCAATTAGTTTCACGTATTTCTTCAATTTCTTCAGGAATGTCTGTTGTTAATAATTCAAGGACTTCTGTGTCTGTATTTTTTGAGACAACAGTATAATCGAAATCGAATATTGCTAAATTTTTGGTAACCATTTTTGATCTTATTATATTGCCTAGGATTTTTGGTGCTGATGTTTTGCCTGAGACGACTTTTTTCGAACTGTCATAAAATGTACAACCGGTAGAAGAAATGGTTAAATATCTTTTTGAGGGTCGTTTTAATCGATGGAGTACAAAATAATAAAGATTCGTAGACAATTTCATTGTCTATGATAAATTTATTAGATTATTTGCCTAAATTTTGTATAAAACTACTTTTGGTTTTTAATTTTGAATTTGGTTGACATGACGCTAGTGTTTCTTAAACTGTAACAAAGTTGCAACGAACTTTTGTAATTTTAAAGTTGTATACAAACAATAATTTTGATTTAATTTTTAATTATCACGTTAACCAGATGAAAGTACCGTTTTGCCTTAAGGCAAGTTGCATAAACTTCCTGATTTCGGGAAAAGGAAATTAACTTTACCTAAAATTAATTTAAAACAGTTTGAAAACCATTCCGCTCAGTGCTGCCACCACTCGCGGCAGATCAATCAACTTTGATGGAAAATCAATGTTCGACATTTTGTTTTCCAAAAAACATTATTTTGTTTTAAATCAAAAATATACATCCAACAGTATCAAAACAAAAACAATTATTTTCCATTACAATCGTGGTTTGTCATAAATTCTTACTATGGGTGATAGAAGATCGAAATTTGATAATCCGGAGCCTCAGTATTCAAGACTCTTTATAGTCTGTAGTAGAGATTCTACAGCTGACGACTTTTATAATAGTTTCGATAAATTTGGGACTATTGAAGATGTTCGGTTGGTTCGAGACAGGAATACTGGCGAAAATAAAGGTATATAAATAATTATTTCAATGTATTGTACCGTTTTAAAAATAATTTTATATTTGCTGATTAGGTATTGCCTATGTAAAATTCTCAAAGACTTCAGAAGCTGCAAAGGCTTTGAAAGAGATGAACGGTAGATGCGTTGGGAATTCTTCACGACCACTTAAAGTATTAGTAGCTAACAGGTATTAATCTCTAATAAAAATTATCAATCTTCATAATTTTCTATGTCTTTTATTTCTATTATCCTAGTCGCGATGAAGGTTCAACAAGAGACTCCAATGAAGGTGAAAAGTACATTCGTCTCTTCATAGCAATTCCAAGGTCCATGAACGAGGATGATTTGCAAAACAAATTCAAAGAATATGGAACAATAGTTAAAATCAACTTATTACGAGACAGAGATACGCAACAAAGCAAAGGTTTTGCCTATATAACCTTTTCCAGTTTTATTGAAGCAGCCACTGCGTATGAAAATTGTGATAGATCCTATAAAGCTGTTTTTGCTGAACCGAAGCCTAGCGCAAAACGTGAAAGGAGTTATGATCGAGGATACGATAGGAGCTATGATAGAAGGTTAGATAATAGATAGTTGTTTGTGTTGATATATTGATTGATGATTGTTTGTGTTTTTGTTCTTTAGGGATGCTCATGATTATCATCCAGTAAGCAAAGGTTCTCGTAATGAACCTCCTGGTCAACTTTTGGTAACCGCTAGTCCTTGTTCTAATCAAGATCAACTTTGGAGACTTTTTGATTTAATACCAGGTACGTATATAAACAGTATAGAAAAAAAAATACATTATTATTGAAGTGAAACTTCTAATTCCACTTGCAACAAAGAAATTTTGGAAATAATACAATTTTTAACTTC